TTGTATTGTAACTGTAATGTCTTCCTTATATTGTAAAGCGCTGCGCAAACTATTGGCGCTATATAAATACTATGTAATAATAATAATATAAAATGTATAAGTGAGAATACAAATCATTATAATGCATGAGCAAGGTTTTAAAAACAATAAAAATGTGAACAATTTGGGAAAGCATTTTTTAAATATCAAATACAAATTGTAAACTTTGTGAATAATTTTTCCATTTGCTATATTTAATTTTAACAAATCAGATATAATATTAGCATGAACTGAAACTAATATTAGCATGAAACCTTTACCAGGTAACAGCAGCAAACTTGTTCACTAATGCATCCAAGAAATATATGCCAGTGGCACCCAGCAAGAATGTCTCAGACGTATTAAAGATCTATGCTCCCTTAGATAAAGTGAATGTTCACTGAACTTGGTTAATAAAGTGAATCTTCACTTTCATAAGCCAATCCTGTTCTAGTAAAAATCCTGTATTTTTTCTTTATACATGAGGGAATGATTAGCCACTTATAAATGTTTGGTGAATGTCACATTAACTGGTTTATTAATATGCCCCGTAGATAAGATTATACATTGAATATAATGCTAATTGCAAAGTTGTATTTTCAACTAGCATAAAACCAAGGTACATACATTCACAATACAAATAACATTTGAACACCATAAAGAGCTGAAAAAATTATTGAAAATATAAGTATATATATTAAGACTATAATGACCAGACAGGTTATTTGAAATCAAATATAATACATCAATATTTATTTCTTATTTTAACTAACTGGTAAATATTAGAAAATAAATTACATATAGAAAAATGATTCAATTACTAGTCAAGCCCCTGGTTGACCTGCCCTTGCTTTGTCCAGAAACAGGCCAATATTGGCTTAGGGATGTGTGCTTGAAGTAAGGGATTTTGGATGAGTGTTTAATGTCATATGGCTATTTGTATTAACATTTTCTTCTCATGTGACAAATCAAGGTAAATCAAAACATTGCTATTTAGCAGCTTAATGTTTCTTTGTTTTAAAAAGGAAAAACATTTAAATTCCACCTATGTATATAAAATATAGAATAGTAAAATGTAGCAGAAGTATATGACCTAAAAGATGGTAGAAATGAATATATGAATACAATTTACACTCTTAATGGATCCAGACCAGTTGCTAAGACAGAATAATTCCCCTGTAGACATACAAATATGTTTAATGTTTCTGATCACTGTCTCTTTTAACAAAATCATATAGTCTAAAAGAAAAGGAATCCCTGAATAAAGTATAGCCTCCAATATTTTTTTTAGTAGGTGCTCTTTCCCCTACTCATTAAAATCCACGAGAGTGCTCCTTATTTGATCCAGATAATATCCATGCATAAAGCCAAATAAAATAAATACAGCAGCACACAGACCTCAAGAGTGTGCACACTCTGTGTGGTAAAAGCAAGTGTTTAAATGATTTTAAAAATACACAAAAAGCACCTAAGTGACTAAAGTGTAAAGTGTAAAGTGAGATAAAGGTAAATAAACTGATTCGGGGCTTGATGTTTAAACTGAACACGATTTCTCATGTCCCACAATCTCACCTCACTTAACTCTTTAGTAAATCATGTACTAAACAAAGCTGGGTGTATTTTTCATTGTTTAAGGAAAAAGAACAAATTAATTGCTGTAGAATATTTTATAATAGACATCATGTATTTGTTTGTTGTGCTAGAAGCAGGGGTTTAAATATTAATGTCCCTTATATTAGGTGTACATTTAATGATAATTAATATTCAGCATTAACCACTATTATTAGCTGTGTAAAGCCTATAATATATGAAGTCCCATGGGGGCATTGTTACCGAACTTGCTTTCATCAAAAAAACAAAAAATAATCATCCCAAACCTATTACCTTCACTAGTAAATTTCTTCTATGTGAATTACATTTTAAAGTACCCATTACATTAGCTTTTGGAGTGAAAGTGTATAAAATACAGATTTTTCTGGTGCAAAGTGTAAAATACATCAAGCTGTGAAGCATCAGAACACAAATTGCAGAAAAAAAAGCATTAATAAATAATATTAATAATGATTTTAAAAAAAACCTTATGGAAAATATAGGTCAGAAAAAGGAATTTTGAGCACAAATGGAACCTTTATTAAAGGATAAGTGTCCTAGTTGGCAAACTGATGACTTTGCTGTCACAGCAAATATTTATTCATTTATACTATTAAATAGAGAAAGGCATTACATGTTAATAGATCTATTATTATATGAAACAGGAATGTACATTACACCATCATTTAAAAAATAGTATTGTAATACTACTACTACTAATAATAATATTAATAACAATAATATCACGCAGACAACAGCTCTATATTACATGAATCATTTAACTCTGTGTTTACTATATACAATAAACAGTAACACATTTGTACATGCATATTAAATATGCTAATTTACTTCATCATAAAAATACACTTTACATTACTCAAATATCAAATAATAGTAGTAATAAAATTATTAATAACAAAACAGTACCATAGAACATATTTACGCAACGTTTATGGATAATACTGCATGCCAGTGATTCAGAAAAAAAACTGTGTTGTATACAACTATATGCTTTAAATGTTTAGGCAAATATCATAACCAATACCTTAGCAATAGCCTAATAAAAGACAAATACACAATAAACAAAAGCAGATGCATAGTGTTCATGCATATGCACAATTCCATATAAAAATGTGTGTATGTATTCATTAAAAAAAAAAAATTTATCATAGAAAAATGCGTATTTCGCTTTTAATGACTGTGTGCGTGTGTATTTCCATAACGAATTGTAATTTCTCATGGAAAAAGTTTAATTTATCTTTTAATATTTTTGATTTTTATATATCTTTTTTAAAGCTCTGCACAAACTGTTAGTGAAAGATCTAACAGATGTAAAATGCAGATTATTTCAATTACAACAGAGTTTCTTCCTTTTTAGGTTCACTATATGTATTACAGTGCTGTACTGTGCTGAAATATTTCCTGCTTTATATAACGATGGGTAAATAGTAATATTCACCCTTATATGCATTTCCACTGTTTGAATACTTAGCAACACTCCTTTGCTGTACATACTTCAGTATGCCTGTGCTATTATTATTCTCTTTGTACTATTAGCTTGGTAACAGTGTCCAGATGCGGTACGTATTATTGTCTTTCTTCCTTCTGCTTAATCGAAATTATTAATGTTTCTTTGTATCTGACAATGAAAAGGAAGAAAGTAACACAGCACGGTAAAGTACACACTTCTAGATAGAAATAGTGGAGAGGATGCAAACTAAGCTCTTCTCTTCCGTCTTCTGAAGTTTTGGCAACATCTGTGCCACGTTGTTACCATCCCTTATTGAATTTAAATAAAATCCGAATCGTTTCCTATTTTTGGCTGGTAAAGTAATGTAAGTATGGACTATGTTTATGTGGATAACCTAAATACTCTAGACTCGGATATTCTTCTACGATGGAGTGCAATGTAGTTATTATATAGATACATATTATGTGATTCCGAAAGGTAAAACTATACCGTGGGAAATCAAATAGTAGGACTTCTTAAATTATTTATATTACTAAATAGAGTTTGAACCTTTATTAAAATCGTTATATCTTATCTGTCTTGCAACAACAATTTCTTGTATACACAGCTAATAACACCCACCCATGCATATTTTATTTACATGGTAACTTTTATAACTGATTCATGAAATATTGTACATTTTATAAAGGAAAAATAAAGCAAGGACTCACCACTGGTAAGCAGGAAGGATCGGCAAGCATATTCAGTTTCAACTATGAACTTGGAATAGCTAGCAGCAACAAACTAAAGGTTCTTGGCTCAGGATGGTAGGAGGAAGAAGAATAAAAGCTGGCACACTGAGCCTGGGAAGGCAGCTCCCACGCGCTGTATCTGTGTGAGAGTTCCTCCAGAGCTTCATGTGAACTGTGCAACTTTCCTGTGTCTGCTCACTTTTATGTCTTCTTCCCTCTTTTCACTTTTTATACCTTTCTAAAAAAGCACAGGGCTTTCATGCAACGTCTGCTCAGTCACTTCTTACCTTGAATTACTCCGCTTTTTTATTATACTCAAGGAAAATGTAAAAAAAGAAAAATGCTCCCAAGGCGTCCCAGAGGCATCTCGGTATTTTGTCGCGTTTTGCACAGATTGTACCCTGAATACAACTCTGCCGGCAACATTGTGCCCGGGCTGAAAGCAACAGCCAGGGAAGAATGAAGGCGACAGACGGGCCAAGACTTGGTGAATTATGTTGCTTCAATTAGAATCAAATGAAGCTCTTTCTGCTATGTGCTGAGACCTGTTTGATGGGAATTCAAATACTATGAACGATATGTAATTGAAATTAGATGTAGTTATAATTGGAGAGAGCTCACATATGGCCCCACACTGTTCTGTGTCAAATCAGGCACGACATGTTTTATTAAAGTGAAGGAAGTACGCTTTAAATATCGGTATATTAGCTGCGGGGCTTTTTGTTGTTTTTCTTTGTTTGGAGGGACTATCGGAAATATTAATAATCATAATAACAGTAATAATAATAACAACAGTAAGTTATTTTGTAAATAATATGTAACTATACATTCCCTAAAATATGAATGCAAGGGTTCAGTGTATTCCTCCGTAAATAAACAATTATATAAATCGGTGGTTAAGCTCTGAATTTGCCTGGTAGTAAATCACTGTGGTTTTAGACAGAGGTCCTTCCTCATTGGCTGTGAAGCTGTCCAATCAGCACACGCTGAAGACGCCGACCCCCCTCAGAGAGGTATCCATCCTTGCGGTCGATTTAAATGTCCCGATGGGTAGGCGTGGCCGAGGCACAGACTGGCTGCGGTCCTTATCCAGTGAACGTCACTCCCCCAATGTGGACAGAGGTGAGGTGTAAATAGGAAGAGGGCTCTCTGATACTCATGGTGCACCCAGAGTCCTACAGTCTGGAGAGCGAGCTGCCTGCTGCCAACTTGTCAGTTCTGCAATCTCACCAGACTATATTGCAGCCGCACCTCTTATTGCATGCTATCTAAAGTGGACGTGCACTGCAGGACTGGTCAGGACAACAACCTGCAAAATTATACTGGTAAGGAGCTTTCTTCCCATGACAGGACCATTTTGGATAGGCATGTAGAGCTGCAGAGTAGTTATATATAATTCTACTTGATTCTTGGGGCCATTATTCACAGCTTAGTAACAGGATTCATTCTGCAATATATACACATGAGTACACAAACTGCTGGCTTTTAGAAAATAATAATTTGTTCTTTATTTTAATCGAGATTAACTAATTTAATTCTCTATTTTATGGAAAGTATTGGGGTATTTT